GAAGCACTCCCCGCAGCCGCAGTCTCGGAGGCCGCCGCATTGGTCTCACTGGTAGCCGCCGCAGAAGCACTCCCCGCAGCCGCAGTCTCGGAGGCCGCCGCATTGGTCTCACTGGTAGCCGCCGCTGTGGCACTGGCACCTGCCTCATCCACCAAGCTATCGATGTTGTCGTACTTCTCGACCAGCTCTTCGGTAACAGCTTCACGCTCTGCCTCGGAGTCATCGATCTCCTGTTGGATGTGTAACACATAGGTGTCGTTGGCGTTTGCGCCCCGCCAGTCGAACGCTCCGGTCCCCTGTTGTTGGCCTGGAAGACCGTCTCGCGGAGTGAACCTTTGGACGCGACCGTCGCTCCCTGATGGGAACCCCGAGAGACACTCGATGAGGCTGTCCGATGTCCACTGGTATAGGGCCGTAGAGACCACCTCGCCATCCACGAGGACCGACACATAGTCTCGGCTGAGGAAGGGGAACGGGACCTCAATCTCGTCCCCAACACTCTTGGCTCCAGTCCACGTATTGTAGCTGAAGGGCATAAGGATTTATCTCCTTGGATTAGTAACCCATAGACGAGAGGAGTTCCTCCAGTCCTGGTCCCGACTTGGCGGGGTTCTCTTGTTTGGATAGGAGCTGCGACCTGAGGTCGATCTGGCTCTGCTGCATCTGCTGGCGCAACTCGGGGTACTGGGCGAGGAGAGCTTGACGCCCTGCCGTCCGGTACCGCCCAACGATGTCCATAAGCATCCCGATCTTGGTGCCCCTCAGGCTGGGGTCACCATCAACCAGACGCTCATAGCCACTCGACTGGATGGCCGTCGCAAGGGCTTCCTTCAGGCTGAGGCCATTACCCGGCTGGGCCACAAGCTGCTGATACACGTCGAAGGCATTGCGGCCATCTGAGAGTTCAACCTTGCGTAGGTCCATGCCGCCGATGTGCGGGGAGGGTGGGCGGATGCCGTTCCCGGTCTCCATGATGATCCGATTGTGTTCGGACTCCACGATGTCCACGTCTTCGCCGGTCGTCAGGCCCCGCTTGCGCCAGATGGGGTCCCCAAAGCTGTCCCGCTGCGGGGGGATCGTCTCCGAGTATCCCGGCATCCCGCTCATCGTCCTGTCGAGGAACATGCGGGCGTCCCTCATGTAGGGGTCCTGATTGGCATAGTTGCGCCACGCCGAGGAGCCGGGGATGAGATTCCCTCCAAGGTTCCCGAGGTACTTCGAGATGTTCTGGCCGCCGTCACCCGGATTGCTCAGGGCGTCGATTGCCTGGTTGAGGTTCATCAGGAAGGTCTTCTCGGAGAACGCATTGGCCAGCGCCACGCCGACCGCCATGATGCCCTCTTCGGCCTTCCGGTTGTCAGGGTTGGTGACCAGCATGTCAACCAGATCGGCCACCATCCCGAATGGCATACCCACGGGATCGAACCGTCCGATTGGGAAGTAGGTCTTCTCTCCATCAGGTCCGTCGATGACGATGCTGTAGGGCTGCCACCCTGTCGCCATGAGTTGCTTCTGGAGTTCATAGTCCGTTGGTCCCGATCCTGTGATGCGGCCACTCAGTGCCAAGTTCGCTGCGGTCGCCATGAAGAGGGACCCTAAGGCCATCTGCCCAATGGCGTGGGCCTGTTGTTCGGACCCCATCTGACCCATGAGCATCTGACGGTACTCCTTCTGGATCATGTTCAATCCAGGCGTCATCTTGGTGGCATACCGAAGGACGTTGATGGGGGTCTTCACGAAGGGCAACACGAAGGCCGTTGCTGGCCAGTTGTGTCGGAAGTTCTGCACCGCCTTGCCGAGGGTCCCCGGAAGTAGCTCCTGCTGGAACGTGGTGATCTGAGCTTCGCGTAGTGCTGCCTCATCGATCCCTCGACCATCGGGCGTGAAGGCTTCTTCAAGACGCTTCTCGATGTGCTTCTGAAGGTCGATCCCCTTGAGCCCTGCATCAGAGCCCTCCACCGAGGCCCTCGCCTGTACGATGGCCCGATAGCGAAGCTGCTTGATGAACTCATCCACGGAGCCCAACGCTCGGGTGGGGAGCCCAACACCAGTCCGATATGCCGCACCGGCAGCTTTCCCAGCCGCTTGTCCAGCCTGCTTGTAGTTGGCCGCCACGAGACCATTGTAGAAGAGGTCCCATGTGTCCTTGATGGGCTTGAAGGCGATCTGAGGTTGCTGGACCCGCGACCCTCCTTGGAAATATTCGTCCGTATGCGGAGCCAGCACGGAGTCAGCCTTCAGGAAGGCATCGCTGAGACCCTTCCAGGCATCGGACACCGAGTACATGGTGTATGCGAACTCCTGCATGGCCTGCTTACGTACCGCCGACCCACGGGAGCCCTGAATCATCGACCCGATCATCTTCTCCACGGGACGCGCCACCAGCATGTAGAGGTTGGTGGAGGTGTTCACCGCGTGGGTCGTCCAGTTCCACAGGAGGTTATTGGTGAGGAGGAACGTCCCCTCATCCAGAACCCGACGCCAGAACCCGGGGTTGGCCGCCTCGCGGAGCTTCTTGATGTCGCCCCCGGTCGAGCCGAGTATCTCCGCCAGCTTGTCCTTAGGGATGTCCTTGAACTTATCCACGTCCTCGGCCCGGATGGCGAACTGCCTACGGTTCCGACGAAGAGCCCGACCCGATGCCGCCCGGATGGACGCACCTTGGGCCATCATATCGGCGGCTGCTTGGAAACGCTTGGTCAGCTCCGCTTGGGCGGCCTGAAGGTTCCCCCCGAACTCACCGAGGTTCCCGGCCCTGATCTTGTTGGCCAGATCATAGGACCCCTCAAAGAGCTTCCGGGAGATTATGTATGCGGCCTCCATGTCGGCCACCATTTTGGTCGCCCGTTCGCCCGACTTAGCGATCTCCCCCATGATGACTTCGGGGTCGGCTCCGAAGAGTTCCGCACTATTCTGGAGCATCTTGCCGACCCGCTCGTCCGTCAGCACACTTCCGCCCTTGGCGAGGTCCATCTGGGTCCGCAACGTCTGGGCGGTACGAGCAATGAGGGCCTCAACGTCTTCCGTCGAGTTGATCTTCTGCCACGGAAGGTTGGCGGGGGCGAAGGTATGACCTGCCCGCTCTGCCGCCTCCCGAGAGCCGAACCGCTCGATGGCCGCTGTGTCAGCCTCAACGCCTTGGATGATCCCCGTAACGTCCATATCGGAGACGTTGACCGTGGGGTCATAGCCTTGATCGCGGGGGCGGAGGGGGACCGCCTGGGCTTCGGAGCGTACTGGCTCGATTTCGACCTCAGCTACATTCCGTGTGCCTGTGGGGACATCCACCCCATCCTGCATCCCATCGCCAGCCCTGACTGTGATCTGGGGGATACCTTCGGGCATCTCCACGTCAGTCCTCGGAGCTGATCCAGGGCCGTCCGGCACCTGGCGGCCTTCAATGGCATCCATGGCACTCTGGTCATCGGCACCGCGCTGGGCCTGAAGCTCTTCCACCTCACGCATGGCCTCTTGGGCACCCGCTTCGTCACCCCGACGCAATGCCTTGATGACTCGGAGGCTGCCCTCAAGTATCCCCACCAGAGCGAGGTCCATGCCGATGCCTTCGAGGGCGTTCTTAAAGCGGCCCTCAATGGCTGAGTCCCCTTCCTCGGCGGCAAGGTATTCCGTGACGGGGTTCCGCAGGAACTCGTAGTTCTGGATCAGGTTAGAGAGCCGCTCCTCGTGAGGATCGAGGGCGAGGAACCCGGCAACCGCACCACGAGCAACCTCCCAGGCACCACGGGCAACACCTCCTGTAGCTTTGAGGGGTGCCATGAGCTTTCCAGCCCCAACGAGCCCAGCGCTAAACTGCGAGATGTCGCCCACCACCGAGTTGACCACACTGGCCTCATCGAGCTGCTGGGTGAACGCCTCGTGCTGCTGGCGGAGCCACGACTTGTCCTCCTGGGCAGGCTCCCCGAAGAAGAAGTCCTTGGTCTGGAAACCCGCCTCCACGATACCGGACCCCACCGAGTTGATAACCCCGGTTAGGCCACCAGTGCCGATCTCGGGGACTTGGGGGGCTGCCTCGGGTGCGGTTTCAGGCGTGGCCGGTTGGGAAGGCGTGGCGATACCCTTCTCTTGGGCAATACGCTGATCCACCTGGTCGAGGAGGGCGGGATTGAGCATTGTGCTTCCTTATGGTTACGCCTTGACGGCGAAGTGTGGGAGGTCTTGGAAGGACTGCCAGTCGGCCCCGATGTCGAGTTCAACACCAAGTTCCGCTGCGGCAGTCCGCATGGCCTCCACGATCTGCATCTGAAGGTTTCGGTCGAACTTGACGGCTCCATTCGGGTCGAGCGGCCAGAGGTCCACGGCTCCGCCTTCCAGGTGGTCGCTGTCCATCGTCTTGGACCATCCCCACTGCATGGCTTTGCGTTGGAGGGCTTCGTCGCGTTTGCCTGAGCCGACCACGAAGTCCACCCCGGCGATCTCCTGAGCTCTGCGGACCACCGAGGCCAGCGTAGGGTTGATGGTCGCAAGGTTGGCCTCGTGGTTGCCGACCGGATCGGGGTTCCACTCAAGGAAACGGGGCCGCTCCCAGTCCTCAATGTTGGCATAGGCCACGTTGGGTTCTGAGGTCACCTGGTCGATGGCATCAAGGGCCGCGTTGCCGGTCCCATTACGCATGGCCGCGAAGGCTGACATCAGGCCGTTGGTATCGGTCCCGACTCGCTGTCCCTCGTAGGCCCCCATTCCGGTGGCGAGGGGGAGGGAGGCCCACTCGTAGGCGAGGTTGTCTTGGAACTGCTCATCGCTGATGCGCCCCGCCTCCCAATCGGAAAGCCCACGCCGGTCGAGGAGGACTAGTGCTAGCCGATCCTGGAGCTCTGGGGTGAACACAGTGTCGTCCGAAAGTCCCAGCTCACGCTTCAGACCTCGAAGGGTTGTCCTGATGATCTGATACCGACCGACCGCCGACGAGTTCCACTTGTTGTCAGGGTCTCGGAGCATCCGCGTCTGGAGCTGGTCGATCTCCCCGAGGGTCATACCAGTGAGGTCAACATCCGATCCTCGGCCCCCAGAGCGTACGCCATCCACCAAGATGCCATAGCCGAGGGTCTCGTTGTAGGCGTCCTGCTGGTCTGTCCCCTCAGTGTGGCCGATAAGGTCGAGAAGAGGGGAACGGCGCTGGACTTCTTCTGTCTGAGTGAAGGTCCTCGTGCTGGTCGGCTGGAAGATGTCAGGGTTGGCCTGCGACTGTCCACCCTGAGGTGTTGGCGCTGACGTAGGTGCGGGCTGGGGTGCCGGTGCTGGCACCTCGGCGGGAAGACCCATCTGCTCACGGATCGTCTTCCAAATGCTCATGCTGTATTCCTCTGGTGTGATGCCTAGGGCCTCGGCCCGCTGTTCGATGACCAAGCGGCTGGCCTCATCGATCTGTTCGAGATTTGGTGGGGCGTCTTGTGCGAAGATTGAGGTGGTCTCATCCAACTCCTCTTGCTGTCTCCAGGCGTTTATGTCCCATCCGCCAACACCCAGTGGGGTCCATGGCCGAGGCTCGGGCTCCTGAAGCATCTCTGAAGCTGCATTGGCCGCCTCATTGGCCGCTGCTTCCTGCTCAGCCCTCAAGGTGTCTGCATCCTCTTGGGACATGTAGGAGCGCTCTTCTTGGTCGATACGCGTGAGGATCAACTCGGCGGCATCGTTGATGAACTTCTCCTTCTCGAA